TTTAACTATTGAAGAAGGGATAGATCGTGTACGAAGAGCTAATGAAGAGGAGAGTAGGGTGGTTGAGGTTACTGAGGAAAGACCACAAAAACGTGCTGCACGTCAGTGCAGTATATGTGGAACAGTTGGGCATACTGCCCGTACATGCTCCCAGCGTACAAGAAATAGTTCTTAATGTAATTAGATGATTTCTCTATATAGTTGTGGTGAAATTTGACTGTGAAGCTGTATGATGGTGGGGAAGTGTCCGACTAGGCCATTTGTCCGACTAGGTTATAGATCACGTTATACAAACTAAATTTCTCACGAAAAGTTTCTATTTCTTCCATGCCTTTCTGTTCTCTTGCCTTTCTTGGTTTTCCGTGATGACAATTCCTCTGGAGGAATTGGTTCATTATTAATTAGCAATTAGTTGCTTAGAAATTATTTTCTCTTACGTGTAGTTACTGTTCCAGCTGAGAGATGTATATATAAACTTGTAGACCTACCAGGCAGTACAGTCGTTCTTTCTATCTACATCTACTCCTGACACAGACAACATACCTAGCCAGAACTCTCATCCTGCTCCAATTTAATCAATTTTCTTCTTCTGATCAACCTACATAATCTACTTACGTGTCACATCACCACCATGAGTGCAACAACAGTCAAGAAAATCGCCATCATCGCAACCAGCACCCGCACGCCGCGCGTCGGTCCCAGCGTAGCAGCATGGGTGCATGACGTGCTCCAGCAGAACAAGGACAAGAACAATAACGACAACAATTCTACAATCGAGCTCCACCAGCTCTCCGTCGCAGACTTCAACCTGCCCGTGTTCGACGAGCCCGTGCTCCCGGCCAACGTACCTTCCAGAGCGAGTTTCACGCACGAACACTCCAAGCGCTGGAGCAGCGCCATCGCGCAGCATGACGGGTACGTCCTCGTGATCCCCGAATACAACTACGGCGTGGCGGGCGGGACCAAGAACGCGATCGACTACCTGTACAACGAGTGGATTGGCAAGCCCGTGCTGGTGGTCAGCTACGGCGTGCAGGGCGGGAAGGGCGCCTCGCGCCAGCTGAGCGAGATCCTGGAGGGGATGAAGTTGAAGGTTGTGCCGACGAGGCCAAACTTGGCGTTTAAGGGCGGGCTGGGCCCGGATGCGTTTGCGGCCATGAATGAGGGCAGATTGGGTGAGGAGACGAAAGCCGAGTGGGAGGCGGGTGATGCCAAAGAGCAGGTTTTGCGCGGGTTTGCAGAGTTGAGGGAGTTGCTGTAATTGTTATTTGATTCTATCGTATCTGACCGGTCTTGATATCTGTCATGTTCTGGCTTGATATAGACCGTCCTGACACTAGCCTGTATATATCATTAACCAAGTAAATAAATGTGGAAAAGAATCGCGTCAGCAGAACTAGATATCTCAGAGATTGGAGGGGGTCAGGAACTCTTTTCTTCTAACTTCAAATTCCACGCTTCAATTTTTTTTAAAAAGAATAAAAAAAGGCAACTGTGAACCAGACAGAGGGAGCTGTTGCAGCGGATCCTTATTAAAATAAATAATGCTGGATAGTGGATACAACATTAGCCCATTGAGTTGGGTTGGGTTGGGTTAGGTTGGTGCATGCACGCCATCATGTCTCATATCCCAATGGGGTAATTGGTCAACATTGCAGAAGAACAAGGTTGGTGCCCGTATATGCATGTACCTGGATAAGCATAAATAAACAAAACTGCGATTTTGGGGAACAGTTCTCAGTCGTGTCGTCATGATGCGGGCTCGAGCGAGCAACTCTTCATGGTGATTCGTCTCTGCCTAGGTACGTACCTGTATCCATAGATTCGAGCATCTGCCTAGCGGAGCCTACTAACCTTGCAAGCTATCGACATGTGTCTACCTATCTATCCGCTTACTGGACTGCTATTTTTGGATCTTGAACGCCCCCTGAGACTCGATCAAGGAACCTCGATCTATGCCGCCCTCCGTGCTGTAGCTGGTAGGTATGTAGCTTTAGAATTCGAGATGTACACACATACATACAGTATAAAGTATACTATACACAGCCAGTATACACAGTGCGACATGGAAAAAGCTCACGAAAAGAAGAAAAAAAAGTATATACAAAGACAATGTTGGCAAAAAAAAAGATTTTTCTGGACTAATGGGCGCCTTCCAGTTGCCTCCGTCTGGTTTGTCCTGACCCATCAGCCAGGCCTCTTCAATGGGAATGCTAGTGAGATGACCGGGAGACAATACCTGCTGGGTACCTACAACAGGTAGACGGCCACCTTGACCACTAGACTAACAACCCTGAAGTTACACTGACTGTCCCTTTTTCACCGTATATAAACCCCTCTCAGGACCTCTGGACCAGTCAGAGGCGTCCAAAGTCGCCAGTTCGACTCGCACTCGAAGCTGGACCCTGACCTGGCCAGGCTTTTTTTTTCTTTCGTCTCTTCCTCAGCTGACTCATTCACTTGACTCGCTCACTCACTTGCTAACTCTTCCAGGACTGTGCTGCCTGGCTCCCTCACCTTGTCTGGTTCCTGTTTCTTCCTCGTCGTCGCGTCATAGCATCCCCACCTCAACCCGGATATGATGTACAGTACCAACAACAGTCCATTCTCACGCAACTCGCTCTGCATGTACCGTCTCCGCAGACTTCCCCTCTTTCTGGTGAATGTTAAACACGTCCACCTCACTATTGAGATCTTCAGGCAGGGTGCCCAATGCTCTGCCACCGAAGAGCAGATCGATCTCTTCCAGAGACTTCTGCTTGGTCTCCTTGAAGAAAAAGAAAATAACAGGAAGCGTCACGCAGACGTCTGCTTACAGGTCAGCAGACACTCCCATCACAGTGCGAACTGCGACTTACTCCATCCAACAAAGACGAAATAGTACCTCCATTGCAGATGGCCAAGGGCAATCGGTGAGACCTGCGCCCACAATGTACTCACTGCCCAGTTGCCGATTCCGGTCGCGAAGGCGCTTCCCTTGCCTCGAATCTGCATGGGCATGACTTCGGCCATGTAGGTCCTTTTGCGAATCGTCAACTCGTTCATCCCTATTGTTTCACGAGAGGGCTGGTGACTGTACATACCAGCTGCAGGGACCAAAAGATAACGAAAAGATTACAGTGACGCAGAAGATGAAGAAGATCCCTCCGATACTGTACCCGATCCGTGAGCCGTCTGGATTTCTCGAGTTCAGAGCGGCTTCGCAGATCAACGCAATCGTCAGACCAATGGTCCCGAAGAGCATCGGTCGACGACGGCCTACGCGGTCAGAGAGGAATATGATGAAAAGGAAGTTGGTCAGCGGTCCTATGCAGTTGTAGATCCCTGCCACGAGGGTGTTACGGTGCCCAGTGATCCCGAGCGCGTTGTACATGATCGTTTGGTAGTAGTTGATGACGTTGACTCCGGTCATCTGAGTGAACACTTGTACTGCCACGCCGTGACTGACGCACGCAGGTTAGCAGGTCAATGAACCGAGCCAGAGAGAGGGAGAAACGTACAGCAATCGTGTCCGCCACTGCGGTACGCGAAACATGATAGTCCAACCGGGGGCTGTGATTGCCTTCTCCGCCTCAATTGTCGCTTTGATCTCGGTATATTCCCGCTGAATCCACTCCTCGTTGGAACCGTTGAAATGCAGCTTTCTGAGCACCTTCATAGCCTCTTCATAACGCCCCTTTTCGATCAGATGTCTTGGCGACTCGGGCAGGAAGAACATTCCCACGGCGAGAATCAGGGCAGGGACCGTTTGAAAGGCCAAGGGAAATCGCCATTGAAACTGGCTGGTATCCGGCGCATGGAGTGATCCATACCCGACCCAGCTGTCGAAGTAGCAGTTAGTCCTGACTGACCGCAGAGAGAAAAACAAGGACACCTTACGTGCTGACGATAAATCCCACCCCGATCATCTGCTGCGCCAGCCCGATAATCAGACCGCGGGATCGTGGATGCGCGTATTCAGCCTGAAGGATGGGCACCGCCATGCTCAGGAGGCCAACCGCCCAGCCAGCCAGGATGCGGCCCACCAGAATCATGGCCAGATTCTGCGCGGAGGCTTGAAGGATCGCCCCGACTAGACAGATGAACGCACCCATCTGGATGGTGAATTTGCGGCCGAATCGGTCCATCGTAAGGCCGCCCTGGAGAGCGCCAATTGCCGCTGCATTGTCGTCAGCATAGCCCCTGGACCGGGTTTTTCTCTCCTTTTCTTTTTGGACCATCACTTACCACCCCCGGAGAAGGTACTGTTGATTGCTCCTATGATGGCAGACGTCTGATCAGTGTTAAAGTAGGCCAAGAAGTTCGTCGATTCAATCACATCCGTCATGACGCCCGAGTCATATCCAAACAGGAACGACCCCGTGGCCGTGAAGACCGCCAGGGAGACGGTTAAGGCTCTGCCCATGTCGAGCTATCGATATTCTATGCAATGCAATGCAATGACGAGTGAAAAGGACAATGCAGTTCTGTTGTTCATAGGCTCTCCTACTCAAGAGAGACAGGCTTCCAGGTCTTTTTTTTTCTCGCTTTTATATTATCAATGGCAATGCACTCCGGCTAGGCGGGGTTTTCCCAAAAATCGAACTGACAGGGTATGGAAAAAATTGTCCGTTGCTGACCACGCCACAGCAGCAGCCCAAGGCAACGCTGATAACTCGCATCAGCAGAAGAGCTAGCCATTATCGCTGACCGGGCAAGTTCGTGTCGTGTTATAATCGATGGTAGTTGGTTAGGGCGCCGAAGAATTCTCTTCCCCGGAAGTCAGGGGAGAAAGGCTTGGAGAGGGGTAAGGTTCAGTGAGCCAGGGGCCAGGAATCGCCTTATTGGTGAGCTTCCCCGCGGCTGGGCACCGGACGCCCCGGAATTGATTAATATTATTGATTATTTTATAACTAATTTATCGCTATTATTAACTTTCCACATCGTCGACGTCTGGGCACAGACCTCTCTCCACGACATGTGATTAACGGCCGTGCCAGTTCTTAGCTGAAACAAACCGTTTCTTGCCCTAACCCGAGTCAGATCGAACATGGCGTCCGCTCCACGCATTGGTCAGCCCGGCATGCATACGGAGTACACTCACGAGTCTGGGGATATACTACGGCTTGTTAATATACCTGAAGTGTGATTCATTCTTGAGAGGATGCACCAGAGGAGGTGCCCATTTGCATACTAAGCTGAAAATTGTGGACAGTCTTAATTCAGACGGCTCGGTCCGCATCTCACCAAAACCGCCATGGCTACATACTAGTGAGAACGAAGGAATTCGAGGTCGCAAGTCAAGAAGAATCGGATATATCATCCTAAATTATCAGAGTGGTCATGCGTGGTGATTTGAGTAAAATTTTTTTTATTTATTGACAGTCTGCTGTTTCTATGAAGATAACATAGTTGATCGATTATAGGTCGTTTTGAGGCTGAATTTCATGGTATAAAATGCCCGAAATTTATCATAAAATCATGATCTGCTGCAAGCTCTGCCAAAAGGAATGTCATGATATCCACTTCTCAGCAAAGACTGCAGAATGTCGTTCTCCAACATCTTTCTGACTTCCTGCGACCCGCGCTAAGAAAGTCGAAAGGAAAACGTTCTTAAGACCACGCAGCATACAGCCATTCCCCAAATCTTTTCGGTTGGATGTTGACCAGATCGTTGAGGTTTGCGTCGCTGAAATCGTAGCGTCCGGTCGAGGTCGCAATCAAGTGATGAAGACGCCACTGCTGGGTCACGTTACCGGTTGCGACAGCGTATGAAAGGCTGGTCCAGAGAGTGTCGGGCGTGTGGATCGTCCGGTGAAATGGAGCACCTAGATACATGCACAGGTACAGATGATGGTTATTCTAGAGTATCATGCTGTCACGAGGAAGGAAGTCAGACTCACCACACATGATCTCTGCCGTTTTGACGACCTCTCCTACCGTCATACGCTCTCCGAACATGCGGAATTCGTTCGGCCACTCCGGCAAGTCCAACGCCGCGACGACGAAGCGTGCCACGTCCTCCACGGAGGTCATGCAAATGTGCACCTCCTGGCCCGAGGAATTGTGATAGGGGATCTGTGCAGTCCTGTGGCGAATGTCCATGAGGTAGTCTCCCTCCCCTGAGATGTTCGTCCCGTGCCCGAGCTGGAGAGCCGCCATGCCCCCTGGGCCGAACCGCTCGTAGAAAACTCCACATGCGAAGACTGTGTACTCCATTCCGGAGCTTCGAAGTTGGTGCAATCTGGTGAGGGCACTGCTCTTCCCGCGATCGAGGATGTCGCCTGAGGGCCGCACGGCCGGCGTGCCCTCGAACTCGGATGGCACGAAACGCCGGACGTGGACCTGGGCGGCAGCTTCGATCAGAGAAAGCTGTGCCTGTCCTGAAACCGTGGAAATGACCGTGTCGACCCCAAAGAGCTTATAGCGAACGTCGTTGGGATGGTTGTAGTCTACTGGGAGAACTTGCCAGCCTTTGGCAGTGAGACCTGGATTGGGCTGCCAATGCAGTCAGTCAGCCATGGCTAGGACAACTGCCGGTCTAACTTACGTTCCGTGAGAGGAAAAAGAACTGATGACATGTCTGCGTGGATAGATAGTGAGCAATGTACTGCGCAAGACCGCTGGTTCCCGCAAGGGCAATTTTTATCATGGCAACTGATAGCGCACGCGAACAGGGTTGATATTAAAACTAAAGCAGTAAATAGAAAAGTGTTTGTGGTAAGAAATGAATAGGAAAGAATTGCAAACCAGGCCACTTGCGGATGAGAAAGCCGTTTTCTTTCCTTGATCAGATTCTAGACCCTCGTCTAGATAAGTTGACAGAAGGCTGTGCTGTAAGGGCACATGCGAAGCCACAGCACGCAAAGCCATACATATATAACACGGCACTTAAGGACCATCTCCCAAGAAACTGTGACTGGAGCCTGCTGCTAAAATGCAGATAGAGCCTCAATCTGAGAAAATGACACCTTGTCTACACCGGCTACCAGTCACGCGCAACGAAAGATCTCCGTTGTGCCTGTTTTGCTGTCTTCAGTTAGCCAGGCACCAAGATTGCCTACTGCTGCCTAAGTTCATATAGGTGTGTTATTTGCACAAGAAGCACTTGAAGGGAGTGATGTCGAAGTCTCTGTCGAGTAAGAGACAGAACTCCTCAGGGGCAGGGATTACACCCAGTCTCCCTCAAAGGGGCCAGAGTAGCTATCCAACCGGTCAGATTCGGCCTGTACAACGGCATTCAATCAGTCCAACGGCGGGACTTCCGCACATGTCCAACGCAGGTGTGGTGGGCCACCGCAGGACGGGGGAAACGGTCACACTAGTTTCCACGAAATTCGGTGGAAACGCTTCTCCAGGCCCTCTGACCGGTGTAGAGGCAAGGCTGAGTCCAATCGCCCGCGTTGGACAACAAAACCGTTGTCGACTTGCTAAGCCCCAACATTGATGCAACGCTCAGAGGCGTGCGGCTAAGCCTTGATATTAGTTTTGATCGGCGACTGTCAGCTACTCCTGCGTCGGTTCAGGCTTTCAGCCCTGCCCATGGGCCCATGGCGGATGGTGCCAGTGGCGGTCTGACGGTGGGTCATCATCAGCCGCATAAGATACGCAGCAGCGTGCCGGAATTCAGACCTGACAGATCCAAAAGCGTTGGCCCACTCTAGGTTGCATGGGGAAATGCGGGAAAACATAACTATACGAGCATCATGAAGACGACGGCGGTGATCTGTCAAGACAGTTGGCGATGCTGTTGCCTGCAGCTGTAAGACGTTCATGTAGTAGCCATCATCGAGAATAATGCAGCCATCCAAAGCCACTTCAGCCGCCAGGTGGATGTTGGTCATGTGACCATTCAGTCACGGGATCTCGCGTTTTGCACGTGGAGGCGCGAATCTCGCCAAGTCCAACGCGTCTGCAGGATGACGGATGACGCTTGCGGAAGAAGATTGAAGATCGACGTTCCCACGCGAGCATTCTCCGAGCACAGTGCATGCCATCTGGCAGATCGAGCATGAACCTTGAGAAAATCAGAAGCAGCACGTAGTCAGAGGATGCTCTGTTGATAAGTAGAAACTTGCCTGACCAATTCTCAAAGGCTGCCGGGAAAAATCCGCTGGAAGTCCACGGTGAAAGAGCTCGCTTTTACAATTGTGATAACAGTTGGATGGCTCATTGATCAGTAGCAATGACAGGTGTCTTCTGTGCCATGTATCTAGGAGATGATTTTGACTCTTGGAGGGAGACCAGAGTGAGGGGTAATTAGGACCCGCTGATCCGACGTTTCGATTATTATCTGTCCTTGAGAATGTCGCGTAAAACCGTTATTCATGGAAGCAGATTGCTTTCAGCAGACGAGGCAGCAGAATTCCGCAGTAAATGAAAGAGAACCGCGTTGGAAAGATTTCAGACCGCGTCGTGATTCGTGAAGCTAGGCGCGGGTCCTACACTTGGTGGCCCGCCGCGATGTCCCCATAGATCCCGGCATCGATGCACGGTGCCCCCATCCGCGTGCAAACCGCGACGACGCGATACATGCGAGTACTCGCACGTCTACCTCGTCCAAATCTTTTTCTTTTTCTTTTTCTGTATTCTTAGTTTGTCTTCATCACATCAAACCTGACGTGTTTTCTTATTGTGACTATGTCTGTTCCCGAACCATCTGTCACGACCAATTCTTCATCTCCCCCGCAGAGCAATGTATCCGAGTCTTCGACTCCCAGCTACGCATTTCTCGTTCACTCGCAGAAGACATTGACCCAGAATCTACCTCCTCGAGTGGACAATAAGTTATTGGCACGTCAGAAGCGGCGGCGAACGAGGTATTTCCGCGCCCCCATGCTGAGTTAGGGCATCGTCCATATACTAATGGCATCCTGGTTGGGCTCATAGTCCCGAGGACCACGCGATCCTTGAGGCCGAATATCAAAAGAATCCCAAACCTGACAAAGCTGCGCGAGCCAGTATAGTCAGTCGGGTTGCCTTGGGGGAGAAAGAGGTGCAGGTACGCGTATCAGGACGCGCATACGTATTTCTTTACCGTTTTCTGATTTCTAACCATGTCACGCGTTGATCAGATATGGTTCCAAAACCGCCGACAGAATGACCGCAGAAAATCGAAGCCTCTGCAGCCCCATGAACTTGTCGCACCCCGTGCCGCAATGAACAACTCCACTGCCCCGAGTGGGAACGACAACGGAACGAAGGAGCCGCAGTCATCGAGTGGAAGTGACCAGACCGACGAACATGAGCATGCGATTTCCGGGAATGGCAACAAAGAAATTGATACGTCATCCAAAGCCGACGCAGATAGTGACGCTCAGTCAGGGGACAATGGAAATGTTGCGAGTTCACAGCCAAACGTCGAGCTGGTTTCGTCGCACTCGCAGCCAGAAGAAATGAACAATGTCCAATCTGGACAAGAACGCGAAAAGACAGAAGGATCGTGCGCTCAATCGAGCAACAGGAAGCGACCATTCTCAAATATGCATGAGGAGAGATTCGATCAGAAAGAAGGACCCGACGCTAATGGTCGGGCGCATGTCAATGACCTCAAATCTCCGCCATCGCTGCGAATATCCATGTCATTCGACGGCGAAGCGATGGTGCGGAGAGAAGGTGAACCCACTCCGTCACCTCCTAAGGCTCGCACTGCAGTGAGGATCTCTATGTCGTCAGACGGCGAGGCTTTGATTCGCACCGAAGACGAGCCCTCTCCGTCAAAGAACCGCATGCGATTATTTTCCACCCGCGCTCCACGACTGCCTGGCCTGAGAAGAAGCACCAGTGCCATTAACTTCCCTGTATCTAGACCAGGTTTCCTCGAAGGAGACAGCAAGCCATTTGGGAGATCTCGTGATTCTCGCACGTGGGAATTGTACTGCGACACTGACGCAAGAAGTGCTTTGTCAACTCCATCCAGTTCCCAGAGCGTACCAACAGGTGGTACACCGGGTTTATATCGAAGACACCGATCCCTGACTCGAAGCTCCTTCTCAAGGCCCAACATTTTGACACCACGGCCTGAACTCCTCAACCAGGGGGCACCTGTTGAGGGTTCCGGGGAGAAGAGAAGGAAGCTGTCACGTGCGGTCTCGTCCTTGGGGAGATTGGAGTCCAGTCAAAAGGTCGATACCTCTCAACAGCCAGTGAAGAAAGGACTTTCCACGTCTGGATCCTTTAAAGAGAGCGAAGAGGACATCGAGTGGCAGTTGGGTGATTATTATTATTATTATTATTATTATTATTCAAGTTTAACGTCCATACCGAGCCTTTCGGCTATGACAGACCCCGAATCGTGGGCGACGCCCCTATCTAGTCTCTAATTCCCCTCTTTGACCATTCTGGACCTTTTCCTCGCCCCAAACCGCCTTATTGCGCAGGGCTTTTGGGCATTATGTATGCCCTCCTTGGTGTTATCACTGAATGGGTGTCACCTGCCTGCTGCAGGCCACCCTCCCCTATTATCCCTCCCCCTCTCGTTCTGCCTCCTCCAAGGCCTCCAGCCCCCATTCATCATCCCTATGAGCCCTATCCACTGCCCGTACCT